TTTCAGCAAGCCATTGTGAAGGCTATTAAACATTTCAGGGTAGATCATGACACAAATACTTTAGTCCTGAGCTAATTTGTGTACCTTTTCTCTAAAAAAAAAAAAAAAAAAAATTCTCTTCCAACATTACCAAATAGTACACTTAAAAATGGTTAGTTTTACTAAAACTTGAAACACCTTTAAATCTTTTGAAATTGGAAGCATTAATTCAATGAAGAAAGTACTTTCAATAATAACCTTTCAGTTTGAGGCTTATGGAGCACTCATATTAAGTCAGTGATTATGGAGGCTTAATTTAAAAAATCCTTCAAATGTTTTATATATATATTTCAAACTCACAGAAACATTTTACTTATAGAACATGAAATGGTCCACGAATTTGTCATTCTTGCCCAAGGACCACATTAATCTTCTTTGTATTGTTCCAATAGGAGCAACTATGCATTTATGGGACTTGCTAGATAGCACAGAATTATGGGCAAAGCAGGCCTAAGAATCACCTTGTGCTTTTTAGGTATCTTCAAGGAAGAGTCGTGTTTGATGACAATACAAAGCTGAGTCCTGAAAAATCAAATATGCTCTGGAAAAATAAAAAAAGTGATCCTTTTCCGCACTTCATCTCTTTCCCACTTTCCAGAGCAGCCACTATTTTTGCTCATTTTCAAATCTCAGCTGTTATTCATATTAAGCATATCTGTTGTCTTAACATTATGGGAGATGAAGATTGCCCTCTTTCATCACTGCCTCCCTCACACCCACTCCCTGCTCCTTGAAATAAGGTCATATGTTTACATTATGATGGCAATGAAATATACCAACCTAATGAGCCATGTAATATACAACATGTAATTTTGTTTTTTAGAATTTCTGGCAGTGATTTTCTCTTAACTCCTATGTACCTATCATTTAGTCAGTTCAAAACTCTTCAGTTAGCCAAAACTCTCATAATCTTCAAGCACACCAAGTACTCTGTCCTGGACACATCCTGAGGGCCATTTGATTGCCTTGGTGAGTTCTTTCTTTTGCAGGACCCTTTT